ATTCTTCACTGTACACTGGTCAGCGAATATAGGTCAGTTCTAAAACATTAACCCCTTTTACTATTTTAACTATTCACTTCTTTCCCGATGCATGAGGGATAACCCTCCTAAACCCTTTGGGGTTTTGTACTGTTGATTTTTACGAGTTCCCGTGTTTCCCTCTCGTTGCACTGGTACAGGTGATATGATGGTGGTACAGATATGATGTACTGTCAACGATGAACGTCAGTAAAAATGAAATTTCACTTGGCTAGTTGACGTCTGGCAGTAGCTGCTTTTTAATGCGGGCGCCATGTTTTAAAAGGGTCAATCTTTCCCTCGTTTGGCATGAGAAAAAAGTCCTACGACCTGGCTTTCCTTGGGGATTTAGTTGATCAGGTTTCTGCCATGTTTCTTCCCCTTAAACGGTGCAGTTGTAGGAGGGCAGTTATTTCATTTAGTGGAAAAGTCTCGTGTCTGGTTTAGTCTGGGGAGCAGGTCTGGTCTTGAATGCCGGGCCCCCTTCTGTATATTTTGTCCATTTCGTTTTCGTCCCGTAGTTTTTAGTAAAATATGGTTAACTTTCTTTTTTTTTGCAGCAGTAATGCAAATTTGGGGCCTCATGGAGTTCGGGTAGGCCCGGGGCGGCAAGATATAGGAGGCCTTGTTGGCTTGCTGCGGGCCCTTGCTGCGGCTCTCCTGGACTCCTTGAATCACTAAAGACACCCCCTTCTCCCGCTTATTCTTACTGGACCTGGCTTTAAGCAGGACACAATAAAATCTACCCTCTACCGGATACACGCAATCCACAACTGCAGACCATACCAGTTGGGGGTGGTATTGCAAACTATTTCTAAACCCAAATTTTCTTGTATTAGCACCACTTGGTTTTGTGATGAATTGGAGAATACATTTTTGCTAATTTTATGTAAAAAAACCCTTAAAGGCACTATAACAACGGTGCCATTTACCGGGTACCCCCCACAAACATCCCAAATTCATGAGAAATTAAAAAGGCAAAAATAACAAACAGACAAATAATAAGCCCACCTTCTTACTGAGACTTAAACAAAACCTTTGGGCCTACTACAGACACCCTGTAACTGTTTTCTCAACAATAAAAAACCACTTCTATACCACAATAACTAAACCCAAACCGGGCTCCGAAAAAATGCAACCATAATAGCCCAACATATGGACCAATATACTAGCCCCCCTTAAACAGGATAATCACAATAGCACAACAGACCACTACCCACCTTCCTCTTGACAAACATTATAAACCCCCCTTTAAATAAAAAAAGTTTCTTTTAGCCCAAAAAGGGAAGTTCCAGCTGACCTAGAACTTTTACTGGCCCCAGAATTCCCCAAACCAATGTTTTGATGACTGGACAGACTTTTTTCTTACAAATATTTAAAACATACAACAAACATTGTCCTATAAAAACGAAACAGACACAAAAAAACCCTTTTGGCCCAGGGCTAACCACACCATTCTAAAACCCATTGATAAGAAACACCAATATAAAAGCAATAAACAGGGCCAAACACGAAGAAATTTTAAAACATATTCAAAACCTCACCAAATTAAAAAAAACCAAACAACTAACACCCATAGATTCAGAACAAAGGAATATAAAAAAGACCTGGAAAACACTCTCTCAGTTTTCTAGGGACCCACAAACTGAAAAAAAACAAGAATATTGCCTAACTAAACCTAATAAACCCCCACTGCATCCCACTGACACAGCAACAATAAACACTTCTTCCTCACCCAAATCTAATCTCGCCAATAAAATCCCACGTACCAATCCCCAGGGGGGGGACCCTAAAAAAATTTCCCAAAAATTTCCCTTCTGTTTTGCCCAACTGACCCCGGGAATCACCGAGATTATAAAGTCACTCAAAAATAACTGGGGGAATCGTCTCAGTCCCACCATTATTGTACAACAGCGGCCCATTCCCTCGATGCTTCCTTTACTTTTAACAAGTCACTAAAACAAAACTCCCCCGAAACTACTCAAGAGGGCAAGGGTTACACCAATACGTAAAGGTGGTGACCCTACAGATTTAAACAACATAGCCAAATTTTCAAACTCCCATTGCTATCCAAATCTTTGAGAAACCCGGCACAGAGACTATTTCTTTTATAACGGCACAAAACTACTCAACCCCCCCAAATTTGGATTCAGGAAAAATAAAAGCACTAAATGAAATCAAAAAAATGCTAAAATCGCTTACACAGAATTGGAAAATAAGGGAATATCCCGGGATTTTATTGCCCTAAAAAAGCTTTTGAAAACAGTAGACCACGGCACCAACCCCCAAAAATTTGACCATTATGTAAAAAAGCCATGCGCTTGCATTTTCAAATCTTACCTTACAAATGGGGTATCATATTCCCCTTAAAGACACACACAACCACGCCACTTGAACTGGAGTTCCACAGGAAGTGCCTTGTCCCCGCTTTTCCCAAACATCTTGATCTTCCAAACTATCTCAACCCCTGAACCCCTTTCTTTTTTGCTGCGACACAACTTATGTCATCTTTTACCCTAATCTTGCCCCCTCAACACCATTGTAACGGGAGCGATCAAAATATCACTTATACAGCCAATAAACTTACCTTAACACGACAAAACCTACTACTTTATGTTGGGAGCAGAGCAGGAGATGCCAAATTAACATTAAGATCGACAACACCTAATTCCAACATAATGAGGCAAATTCCTAGCCTATACCTCAACAAAAACCGAATTTCAGCACCCATATCCACACAAAACCAAAAAAGATCCAAAAGGGGTTTGGATCCCTCCAAGATACATACACAACCGCAAACTCCCTTTTCCCCCTATACCATTTACTTTTATATCCATCCTCACCAGCATCTGGGGCTTGGGTTCAACCGCAGCAACACACTAAAGCCAAAAAACCCAACAAAAAACCCCAAAAGAATAATCACAAAATCCCACCCTCCCAAAAACCCCCCCCACTCTTCATAATCTAACTTACTCCCCGTTCGTAACATCCCACTTACAGTGCAATCTACTCACAGACCTTAAATTCCCCAAAATTAACCTTTACCAAAATGGGTTTTTTTGATATTGTGACAAACCCACAGGCTAACACCCAAAACCCAAAAACTCTATGACATTCCCCCTGTCCACAAACCCTTTTAAAAAAACAATGTTGTCAAAGGCCCCAAAATCTGAACACCCCACCTGAAAACTCTAGAACTGCAACACATTCCCCTTCAAAAAACCACAAAAACCTTATCCCCTGTACCCCTTCAACTAATTACACAATACCACCTGGGGGTTCCCTTTCACTCACTCACCCATTTTACCATAAACAAAATATCAAACTAATCTTAAAATTGAATCTTAACAGTCTAAAGGGTACTCCAATACAAAACTATGAATGCCAAACAAAACTTCACATTGCAAACTCACAACTAGTACTATTTTGTCTTTAGCCCTAAACCAAATTACCTCATAATTTTTTAATATTTTAAAATTAAATTTAATCTAAGTCTGCCCCAAATCCTACCATGCTAGGTTTCAGGGGACCCTTAATCATTTTTCTACTACAGTAAACCCACAATAACCAAATTTTAAACTCAGCATGGTAATCCTTATAGAGAATAAAATTTTAAATTTAATTGAAAACGACACATCAGCATTAATTTTTTTACAATACTTCCTAAAAACCATGGGTTCAGAGTGTCTGAAAAAAATGATTTAATTTAAATACTTTACCCCGAAAGTATTTTAAAATTAGGTGTGAATTTGAAGACTTAAAGTGAATATAAATATATCTACTGGTTTGTAAATTACTGCCATTTCAACATTCTTAACCTAATTGGTACACCATATTTAAGATTGTATAACTATCAAACCGTTTTAAAAAATTTTAATTTTTAAATTGAAATTTTAAAATAATTTTAACAAAGCCTAATATCATCCTTATAACAAAAGCTCCATTGTGACTCTTAAAATATCTACTATCATTTATTTTAACATAAATCTCAATAATTTCACTACAGTCTGTTGACTTTTAATATATTTTAGGTCATATTTCTCTAAAATATTTTCAAAATTCGGGGGGGAGGAGATACTGATGCCGTTGACCTCCCCTTGAAACTGCGGGGAAGGCCTCGGTTTCTGTGTCATCCCGATTTACTGTGCCATCTGACAAAAAAATAAGCGAAAAAAAATTTTTGGGGGAACGTTGGATAAGGTGACCAAAGGCAAGTCCAACTCGCCTTTATACTCCACTCCTCCAAACCTACAGGAAATTTTTGGGCCCCCCCTTCTGATCCAGGAATAACTACCCTTTCCACCCCTGCTCTCCCATTTTAGGTCAGCAGTACCCCTTCTCCCACCATCCTTTTATCCTAATTTAAGAATTACTTCCTTTCCCACCTCATTTCTTTTTCATCATGGGTCTAGGAATGAATGCTCATGCATCAGTTTCTGAACAACCTGAGACCAAAGTTAAATATTAGCTCTTTCAGCCTTGTTTTTCTTAAATTTATGTACAGTAAACTTAACTACTTAAAAAAGCATAAAAAGGAAGGTAATGTCTAGCAAGGGAAACTGCATAGTTAAATAGTTGGAAACCAAATGCTTGTTATGCTCAGTGGTTAGGGGGAGCACCAGAATTTTTATACTAGGGCTACTTTAGGATGACTCTGTTTGGAAGGAGGGCTAGGAGACTTGTTTTGAAGCAGCATTATTATGATTACTATTCTTATTTGGGGGCTTAAGCCTCCCTAAGCCAGTGTGAGTGGAGAATGAGCTGGGTAATACAGTACCAGGTGTTGTGTGTCTTACATCTAAGATACATTTTTACTGTTTCTTGTCAACTTTTATGGCAGTCTTTTGATACTTTTTTCTTTTTTAAAATAGAGATTGAATTTGCTTTTGGGGTATAACAAAATTACATTAGTTTGTGTTCTGTGTTACATGTGTTATATATATATACAGTACCACTTTTGGAACTGTTGCTTATATATACAGTTTATGATACATAAAACTTGCCATCAGATACTCGTGAAGAAACTGTTTATAAAGATGAAGATGACTTAGTAGACCCCCCAGCCTTAACAGCAGAGGACACCACGGAAGTTCCACTTGGGTCCCGACTGGGAGAGGATCGAGCCAGATCAGCCAGAGTTAGGTCAGCACGCCTCATGTCAGCTCGCAAGATTCCCGAGCGAATGCCTGGAGATGATCGCATATCCGGAAATTATCGCATCCCTGGTGATGACTGCATACCAGAAGATGATCATGTACCTGGTGATGACCATATACCAGAAGGTGATCACATACCAGAAGATGATCACATACCTGGAGATGATCGCATACCTGGAGATGGAGGTGAGTAATAATTTTAATCTTGTTATTTCTAACATTAAAAACAGAATGATGCATGTTTTGGTTAACAAGCATCTCCATATGTTGAAGTATTGATGCCTGAAAACCATATAAAGTACACTGGACACTGTTAACCCATTTACAGAGGTGCTAGTGGACACGAGATAGTCTGGATAAATGCAAGTCTTTTTGTTTTCTTAATTTTGGTTTTTCTTCTTTCTTTCAACACACCGGCCGTATCCCACCGAGGCGGGGTGGCCCAAAAGGAAAAACGAAAGTTTCTCCTTTTACATTTAGTAATATATACAGGAGAAGAGGTTACTAGCCCCTTGCTCCCGGCATTTTAGTTGCCTCTTACAACACGCATGGCTTACGGAGGAAGAATTCTGTTCCACTTCCCCATGGAGATAAGAGGAAATAAACAAGAATAAGAACTAGAAAGAAAATAGAAGAAAACCCAGAGGGGTGTGTATATATGTGCTTGTACATGTATGTGTAGTGGACCTAAGTGTAAGTAGAAGTAGCAAGACGTACCTGAAATCTTGCATGTTCATGAGACAGAAAAAAGGACACCAGCAATCCTACCATCATGTAAAACAATTACAGGCTTTCGTTTTACACTCACTTTGGCAGGACGGTAGTACCTCCCAGGGCGGTTGCTGTCTACCAACCTACTACCTATAAATTTTGGTTTTATTATCCACAATTATAAAACACATAAATCACATTTTGATACCAAACTCCAATGCATTTGACTGAAAACAATTTAGTTTTTTAACATGCTGGCCGCTTCCACCGAGGTAGTGACATGAAAAAA